AGTTTACCCCTTTAGTTTGTGAGTATTCACTGTTTTGCATATTTGCTATTCATGGAGCTTTTGCCACCAAGGTTCATATACTGAATCCTTATTGATCCCATCAATTTCAGTAAAAATTTCTATGTCATTTGAACATATCTGCCTTGACAGAAAAAGAGGTATATCAGATACAAGAAGCCGCCTTCAGCTTGACATTAGCAATATGTCAATTCAACAGAGATTTGGTAGCCAAGCAGTGCATTTATCTCTGATGTGAAATGGATACTTTGTTTCACCCAAAATATTAATTTTATATTCTTTGCTTTCTCTCCGTATCCCTTCTACCAAAAGGAACAGCCATTTGGTTTGAGTTCTGCTGAGTCCAAACAGCAAGTGAGCTATCCGGTAAGTAAGCTTCCCTCTTGCTAAAGGGCAGAAAGCCTGCAGATTTCCCAGGGGGGTAGGAGGGAAGGGAAAGGGAGAGAAACACAGTGTAATGAGAGTTACGGTACCAAATGAGAGAGCTACGGTACACAGAGAACCACCCCTTTCATTGATATCATCCTCCTTCCCCAAGAACGTTTACCGTGTTCCCTTATCTCTAAGATACTGGATTTCAAATCATGGTTTAAGACACAGTTGCATAACCACAGTTCCAAATTATTCACAGATAAATATCGTTATCTACAACTATTTTGACTGGCTATTTGTATAGAATTTGCTTCCCTGGTTCTTTGACTTTGCTCCCAAGCGCTTTTCCTATAAACACTGGTGAACTCAACATACAGCCTTAAAAAAAAAAAAAATCCCCAAAAACTAATTTATTGCATACTCAGGACTCTCCGGTGTTAACACTGACTCTCTCTTGTGCGCTGCTCTTTCAGCGTTTTGATACTCACTTTATCTAACTAGCACGATGAAAATAGTGATAAGTGATAGCATCTTGGAAAAAACTACATAAACAGTAATAATTAGTATTAGATACCTAGCATTGTATCTGGGCGATTATTGATCCTAAATCTACCACCACAG